CCCATTATTACAGGTATATTGTAGTGTATGGGGAGTAATATTTCTAGGGGGGTTTTATGTTTTATATTGAGGGGGAAGGAATGTCAAGCATTTGCTCCCGGCAATTGTTCGTATGTAGGCTGTGAAGACCTGGCTAGCTGACCTGGCTAGTTCCCTCGAGGCATGCCGCCTTGACTTCTGAAGTTTAAGCCCTTGGAAGGCTGTCCAAGTCACAGCCCATCGGAAATGCTGGATGAGCGAATTCTAGTCATTTCACGGCTAGACGGACATTCAAAGGACAGAGAGCAAGAGCGAGAGAGAGAGAGAGAGAGAGAGAGAGAGAGAGAGCGAGAGATACAGAGCGAGAGAGAGCGATAGAGAGAGCGAGAGAGAGAGAGAGAGAGAGAGAGCGAGAGAGAGAAAGATACCTATATACGAAAAACGGCCTTGGTTTACGTAGTTTATGAGCTGCCAACGCTCCAGCAAAAAAAAAAAACTCAAGTTGAGCATGGCTTTTGACTGGGCGCAGGTCTGGGCATTCAGACAGAGCCGAATGTGGTGACATGGGTCCAGCAAGCGCTGCAGGTGCGCTCTTCTGCTTTTCTCGAGATTTTGGCCCTTCAAAGTTCTCGGTAGCCCAGTGGTGCCCTTTACCCTTTTTTGGGGTTCAAGGTTCCCTTATAAGGTAACCAACCAAAAAAAGTGTGCCCTTATGATAATATGGTTACTGGGCTACTAGGAGTTTGTACCTACAGCATAAAGAAGAACCTGACAAATTCAGATCCCCTGAACAGATCTCAAGGATCCTAGTGTAACAGAGTCTCAGCGGGTTAACGTTTAAAGGGCCAACCCAAGACCTTTTAAGACTGTGTTCATGTAGCTGTCTCAGAGGGTTAACGTTTAAAGGGCCAACCCAAAGACCTTTAAGACTATGTTTATGTGGCTAACCCAAAGCCCTAGACCCTAAACGCTAGACTCTAAACCCCCACGACCTGGGGCTAAGCTTGACTGACCGATTCGAGAAGAAGCCAACAACAACTCTTCCAAAAGAACCCTGAACAGGGACATCTTCCTTAAGACATCCCCTTGGTTCTTAGTCGGGAATGAGGAGAAACAAAAAAGGGGGTGGGCCTATATATGCCCTGTAAGGGATTCTATACAGTACCTCATTCCCTCATTCCCTTTTAAGAACCAGCCAGTCTTCCTTGCAATTGACGGAGAGTTTTTGTTATCGTCCCTGCCAAGGGTTTTTGAAAGATTTCATCAAAATCCCCTTGGGCAGCCCCCTGAGGTTGCAGGGGCCCAAGTTGATTACGTGAAAGCTCCTTGGATCCAAGAACCTGTTTGGTTGCTCTCCTTGTCAAAGAGCCTAAGTGTTCAGTTGCGCTAAAGAAGGATATGACATCATTGCCCTGTAAGGGTACTTGAAACAGGAACCCAGCACCTGTTGTCACATTTTGCATGGGCTGCGTGAAGCAGGAACAATGCTGAAGATGGCCCAGGAAGCTAGCAGCTAGCCGCGAGATTCCTGCAGAGCATCTCTGGAGATGCCGGAGCCCCACAAGCCATCCCCCAACCAATTCCAACCAGGGGCACGCGGCTCACCGCCCTAAACCCCATGCAGGCCCTAACCCATCTTCAACAGGTGTTTCGCAGACTGTGAAGTAGCAACGACTACTGAGGCGACGAGGCAGACCCTCCACACCCGCATCTTGCCAACGTTGCCGATTCTAAGGCAGCAGTACAGCGTACCTGCGGCTGCATCGGTGCAAGATCTTAAGTCGGTCATGTTCCTGATTCATGGGTTCCCCTACTAGGTTCCTCCCATACTTAATGCTATTTAGGGATAAGTAAGCTTAATTAAGGTCCAAGGTTATTTAGGGTTTAGGGTTTAGGGGCGAACCTGGGGGGGGGGGGGGGGAGTTTTGAGGGGGGTAGTCATGATGTATCCCTTGAGGCAGAATGTCCAGCATCTAGGGTATGGCGTAATGGCATCTCTTTGTCCAGGTCCTGAAGTTTTTGCCCTTGAGTTGTGCAAGGTATATTTGGGGCACAGAAGGGGTGCATTTTGAGGGCCCATATTAGAGTTTTAGAAATGAGGGGCCCATTATTCAGGTTATTGTACGGGAATCCTGTTGATATTTGGGGTCCCCCTATTTTCGTAACCCCCCCCCAATTGCCCCCCATACCATATATATATATATATATATATATATATATTGGTTGGTGGTCTCTTGAAGTAGGGTTTCTGTTTTGTAGGGGGGTCTTATTAGGGTATCTAGGGGCTCTAGGTAGAAGGGTAACAGATACAGAGACCCACCGGCCTTTATAACCCATACCCTTGTTTGGTGTCAGGGCACCCTAAGGTTGGTGACTTGGGTTCCCAAAAATGCCGCACACTCCTCGGGTAAACCCTAATGTTCGGGATATATTTTCAAACCCCCCAGATTTTGTTCTGGTCTGCCGGGGGCTTTGAGGGTGGTCAAAAGAGAGGGGGTGGTAATTAAGTACGTCTGGGGGTCTGGGGGGAGAAGGGGGGGCTGTTTGCCTTGGCTTGTTTTGAAGGGTTCTGCTTGCTCTCTGCAGCTCTTTTTGCTCTGCGACCCTGCTGCCTGCTCGAAAGCAATCTGCAGTGACATTTTAGACTTCTGCCCAGCCAAATTTTAGAACCTGCACCCCATTATTATTTTGACCGGACCCCCCTATATAGCTTTGTTTAGACAGATCGGTCCCGAAAACCTCCTGTAATGGAGAGTAGTCTTGGACCGTGATCCCCGGGCCCGCCGAATTTTAAATATTCCCATCCCATTTTCAAGAAAATGTAACGTTTGCCCTAAACCCTAAACCCTACACCCTTCTTAAACCCCAAGCCCTAAACCCTAAACCCTGGTTCAGGAACGGTTTTCGGGCTTCCTTATTTCCGCATGAAGCTATGCGAGATCCAAGGTGGATGCGCTGTCGTCGAGTCTCGGCTGCACATACCGCTCGATTCGGTTCTTTTAGGGGTTTAGGGTCTTGGGTGTGGGTTTGAGGGCTTAGGGTCAGGGCTATAGGGTTTTGGGTTTAGGGGTTTTAGGATTAGGGTTTGGGGTTTTGGAGTTTAGGGTTTAGGGTTTTTGGGGCTATAGGGTTTAGGGATTTTAGGGTTTAGGGTTTTACGGTTTAGGGAGTTTAGGGTTAGGGTTGTATGGTTTAGGGTTACAGGGTTTAGGGGTTATAGGGTTTAGGGGTTAGAGGGTGTAGGGTTTAAGGGTGAGTGGGTCATAGGGTCTAGGGGTTAGGGCTTCATTGCAAGTTCTCTGGCTGATTGGCTCCCGCAGTCCAGATGCCAAAAAACGGGTTAGGGGTTACAGGGTCACAGGGTTCAGGGTTATAGGATTTAGGGTTTGTACTCGTACATGTTTGTACGGTAACAGGGTCTAGGTTTTTTTTGTTTTGTGTTTTTGTTTTTGGGGGGGGGGGGGGGGGGGGGGGGGTTAGGCTTATAGGGTTTAGGGTTATAGGGTTCAAGGGCTTAGGTCCCAAGGGTTGGTTCCCCAACAACTCCCTTTAGCCCCCCTTAGGAGTTTTTTTTTCAATGTTTGCTGGTATAAAAACCGAATGGAACACTCAGCATACTACTTCCATTAAGGTTCCAAGGGAGTATAGCTCCAAGCAGCCATGGGCCGGAGCTTTGTCAGGTCTACGATGACAGCTTACGCTGTTCTCTTGATCGCTGGCATGCCCAACAATGTGGCGAGTGCGAAACTTGGGCCTCAGCAAGGTGACAAAGCAAAGCATCTAGGGTTTAGGGTTTAGGGTTTAGGGTTCCGGGTTTAGGGCTTGGGGCTTAGGGCTTCGGGCTTAGGGCTTAGGGTTTGCAGTCCAGGTTTCGGGAAGCAACTGGTCTCGCAGCATGGAACCCTTGGCTGTTCAGGGTGTCGAATCTCGGGGCGGGTTTGAGATGCAAAGGCTTGTGCGCGAGTGTCTGTGAACGACCCATGTACCCGCGGGGATGACTGAACATCCTCAAATGCGGCGGTGGTGGACATTCCAAATCTAATTAGCCCCTAGACCCTAAACCTCTCTTACCTATATAATTTCTAGACCTTGGGGAGTTATTGGGCAAGGTCATCGTTTTACTGGGCAAGGTCGTCTTTTTATTGGGCAAGGTCATTCGGTCCAACAAACGACCTTGTGCCCAGTACAAATGTGACCTTCGACGTGAAGGTCATCTTTTTTATTGGGCGGGGCCATCTGTTTTTATTGGGTTTTGGGTTTTGGGTTTAGGGTTTAGATTTTAGGGTTTAGGGTTTAGGGCATATTTATTTACTGGGCAAGGTCATCGTTTTATTGGGCAAGGCCATCGGGCAAGGTCATAAATTCATGTTGGGCAAGGCCGTAAGGTCCAACAAACGACCTTGTGCCCAGTAAACATGTGACCCCTGGGCTGGCTTTACGGTTCTGGCTTTAGGGTTTATGGTGTACTCTGGGCGGGGTTTATATAGGTTGCACTCTGGGCTACTCTGAGGTGCCTGGGCTGGCTTTAGGGTTTAGGCCCTACTCTGGGCTGGCTTTGAGGCTGGGCTGGCTTAAGGGTTTAGCCTACTCTGGTCTGGCTTTTCGCAAATTTAGTCCGTAGATAGTGGGACACAAAGCAAATTTTGACCCTATATAGTAGGACACTGAGCAATTTTGATTCTCTATGGTGGGTTTCAGGATGTTGTCTGTCTTGTCGCCTCACCGAAAATAGAAATGTAAATGAAATGCTTTCTCAGTTATGGGACTCTTTGGACGGGCGGGTATTTTTCCAACACTCGAGTAATTGCTCGACTCGTGAATGCTTGGACTTGAGATGCTGAACCCTAAGCCCTAAACCCTAAAGGCCCTAAACCCTAAAGCACCTGAACCTTAAACCCTGAACCCTAAACCCTAAAGCCTAAACCCTAAACCCTAAACCCGAAACCCTAAACCCTAAACCCTAAGCCCTACCGGACAGGCCCGATTCCTTGAGCTCAGTCCTGAGATGGCGCCGAACTAAGGAAACTCGCGGTGCAGCAAACAGTCAAGGAGGACTTTGTAGCTGAGTGAGTACACTTTACACTTATTGGGATTCTAGAATCTCTACAAAACCAAAAGTGTACACTTTTTTGGGGCTTATGAACTCAGCAACTGAGAGGAAGAAGGCGAGGTTGCTCCCAAGGATGGAGTGGTCGTCTTGGTGCATCAACAGCATCTCCATGTGCCAGCAGAAAATCCTTTTTAGACAGGGGTTTAGGGTTTAGGGTTTAGGGTTTAGGGTTAGACAGGGGAAAGCTGTTGGTGCTACTTTGTCCCATACCTTGGGTAGTAAGAACCCCCTACGCTTCGGGCTAGCTCATTGCTTTCTTGCGGGTCAAGTGAGGTATTGGGGGAACATACCGTGCCTGGGCGAGCCGAGCAGCCTTTTCAACGACTTTTTATTCCTACCCAAACCCTGAAAGGAAAACGTGAGACCATCCTTTTGGGGTACCCCGGGCTTCTCCTGTTGAGAAGTGCAGAAGATGCGTGAAGAGCGGAGCCAGGTACATTACTCAGCACATCGCCGCAAGCATCTTTAACTTTGGAGGCGGATTCATCCAAAACAAAACTGACCGGATCATCGTGCGAAGCTGTCCGCAGCTAGGCCGCAAAGAGAGCACGATTCGATTTCTTCAGTTGTGGGGTCAGGATTAAGATGATTCAGTCGCTAAGGACTCTTCTGTGGACCCACCTTACCAAGTTCGCTCAACCCTAAACCCTGAACCCTGAACCCTAAACCCTGAACCCTAAACCCTAAACCCTAAACCCCAAACCTGAACCTGCCAGGAACCTGCAGCAACTCTTAGCCCACCTCCAAAAGTGGCTGCGCTGGTCGGGCACCATCCTCCTGAACGATGGCCAAAAGATGTCCACGTGGCAATATGCCCACTTCTGCGAGAAGCAGGGCGTACCTCGGCACATCGGGTTGTTTGGTTTTGAACCTGTTTTTCAGGGTGTTCGGCCGAACGCCCAACACCCCAAAACTTCGGCCATTTGGCGGAAATGTGTTGCCCGGACTGCCCCTGCCCAGTTGTCGTAAATAAGCAAAGTCTCATCGGACGCATATGGGGGGGAGGGGGGGGGGGGGGGGGGGGGGCGCGTTTGCCTTGTCTCGAGAAAGGTAGCCGTAAAGCCTAAACCCTAAAGCCTAAACCCTGTTTGAAATCCTGTTCTCTTGGACTCGCCTTGACTCGCATCGAAGCAATGTATTTCAGAACCCCCAGCGAGAAAGTCCCGTGTCAGAAGCAGAGCAGACAGCGCTGACTGCTGATTGTTTGCTAGCTGTTTAAAGCCTTGCTTGGAGTCATATCCATCGATATTCGTCATCGGCTTAGGGTTAGAACTGGTGCCTCATCTAAGATTCGCCCTGTGCCGCCCAATGCCCGCACGGCCCGCAACTCACTCACAGACAAGTAAGGATCATTCTGCAGTCTTCCGTGAATCAGAAACCTATCATGAACGACCGAGGTCCTTGCTTGTAAGGCTTGTGGTGCCCTTTCGTAATACCATATGTAATGCCCAACAAACACACGATCATTGCACATCCAGAGAACCTTGGTCCGAACCTCCCTAGTTCCCTCCTATGCTGGTTGTGGGCTGCATTCTGCTCATTTTTGCCTTTGCTGCCAAATGTTGGCCCTACAAGACCCTAAACCCTAAACCCTAAACAAGTTGCCCTGCAGTGCGTCCGAGCGCCAGCCAGGCCCCCCCCCCCCCCCCCCTTGAAGACACTCCTAAACCCTAAACCCTAAACCCTAAACCCTAAACCCTCTAAGCCTGAAGATGGCGAAGCCCGAAGAGGTCCCGGCCCTGGGCTTGGTTCCTGACGAAGATGTCAATGATGCCACAGTCATTAAGGACTAAACCGCGTTTAGGGTTTAGGGTTTAGGGTTTATAGTTGTGTATATGGGCGGCTGTCAAATTTTGATCCCTTTTGGGGTACCCTAAAAAATGGTGCTAGATTATGATAGGATCCAAGAACGGGCCATAATTTTGACAACCACCCATATGGGTTCAGGGTTTATAGTTTAGGCTTAGGGGTGTTGAGGGGTTGGAGGGGATAGAGTTTTGGGTGGGCCGGTGTTTAGAGTTCAGGGTCGCAATTCTTCAGGGGATTCTAGGTCCCTAAACCCTAAACCCTAAACCCTAAACCCTACACCCTTTGGCTAGATTTAGGGACAACATGCTAGGAGTGACACGCTGTACCTTCTTTTTGCCGGGATCCTGGAGGGGGGGGGGGGGTGGGGGGCGGTTACCTGCGTTTATTGCCAGCGTCGTCCATTTTAACAGAACTACATGGAAGTGTCCGGGGTCTCTGCACTTGAAGCCTGAACCCTAAACTCTAAACCCTATACCCTAAACCCTAAACCCTAAACCCTGGACTCAAACCTTGTGCCCTGCAGCTCGTGGCCCCTCCACCCACCACCCAGCCGAAGTCCCCCACCCTGAACCCTAAACCCCATCCCCTAAACCAAACCCTTTTCCCTACACCCTAAACCCTAAACCCTAAACAGTTGCTCCGACTCAGAGATAGCGCCGAGTAAACCCTAAACCCTAAACCCTAAACCCTAAAACCCCAAACCCCAAACCCCACCCCAAACCCTAAACCAACCCCTACACCAGGACCTCATGCTCTATGCCCTGAACCTGAAAGCTGATACGACGGCATCGCTGCTTCAGCTGGCCACTCAATGCATCTACAAGGCCGCCACCCCTTTGCTTGCCGGCTTCGGGGGGGGGGGGGGGGGGGGGGGGGGGGGTGGGCGTGTCTGAGAGTTTTGGGTTAGGGTTTAGGGTTTAGGGTTTAGGGTTTAGGGTTTAGGGTTTAGGGTTTAGGGTTTAGGGTTTAGGGTTTAGGGTTTAGGGACCTTCATGTGGTCCTGAAGTCTGGGCCCTTGAAGTGTATAGGGTATACAAGGTGCATATAAGGGATCCCCTTTTGAGGGCCCATACTTTTAAGGAGCCATGTAACACGGCGGGGGGCTGTTGGGCAAGGATGGCAAGGATGGATGTGCAAGCTACAAGCTGTTATGTCCACCGGCTGTCCAGGCAGCTTTAGGGTCTAAGGTTTAGGGTTTAGGGTTTAGGGTTTAGGGTTTAGGGTTTAGGGTTCAGGGTTTAGGGTTTAGGGTTTAGGGTTCTTCATCGGTGGAATCAAGAAGTCCTCATGAGTCAGCCTGGGGGAGGGGCTCTTGCCCGCCATTTCACGGCCTCTGAGTGCAAAGGGTATGTATGTATGCATGTCTGTCTGTTTGTCTGTCTGCCTCTGTGTGTGTGTGTGTATGTATTTCATACATACATGCATACATACATACATACATGCATACACACTAAACGCATGCGTGTTTTGATTTTTGGTGATGTCGGCCGACGTGCGCGACGTTGTTGCGCTGTTAGTTGCGACGTTCCCTTCGTTGGAAAATGTCACCTTGACGTTTGGGGCCATCTTGAAGAGGGAGGGGCAGGGACTGCTCACTGAGCGGCCACTGTTCCGAAGAGAGACCTGCGCACACGCCACGATGCTACTTCTCAACACGAACCTTCCGCATCATTTCACGTCAGACATTCACCGGAGCTTCCAAAAGTTGCGTGGAATTCCGCGGTGATTCCATGAGATAATGAAGCGTTTAGGAGGCCATGAGGCTCGAGGAGCTGCAGCGCTGTAGTAACACACGAATTTGTCAAACACCAGAACTCTGTTTGGGCACACCTGCACTCAGCCTCACGAGCCTCCTTGCAGGTGGCCCAAAAAACCCAAAGCAGAAACCCTAAACCCTAAACCCTAAACCCGAAACCCCCCTTCCTCACAAGAAAGGCAACGATGACAACGGCCGTGATCAGGGCCGTGTCCTCCAAACCCGTCAACTCGGAGTCTCGGCAGAGTTTGGGCCGGCTCCAGAAGTTTGCTTCAGGGTTTAGGTTTTAGGGTTTAGGGTTTAGGGTTTAGGGTCCAGCCTTGAACCCGGGCCAAGGAAGTGGTAGGGCTGAGAGGGGCCGCTGGGAAGGTTTCTTAGAGGAGGTCCTGGCACTGGGGTAGCCCAAGCCAGCTTGCAAGGCTATAATCTTGGGAACCCTAAACCCTAAACCTTATGCCCTAAGCCCTAAACCCTAAACCCTAAACCGACGAACCCAGCTACACCAAGTCGGAAGGCCCTCAAGGACCATGGCAAAGACTACAGGGGCACGCAGACCCCTTGGGAAAGGATCCTGAAACAGAACTTTGGGCAATTTAGGGACTAAAGGAGCCCTTTTAAGGGGTTCTTTAGGGGCTCTGGTAAAAAAAAATTAGGGGCGACTTAGCTATTTAGGACTCTATAAGGTATAACAAGGGGTTTTATAGGGGAATGAGGTTAAGGGTGGGCCCCTCCGTATCCCCCTTAAGGCATGGCATATGGCACCTGTTCGAAAGGCATTGTAAGTTACCCTAGGTACACTTAAGTAAAAATCGAATTCCGGAGGTTGCTACGCAACCTCCTGCATGATGTCCTACTATTCTGAGGGCGGTCTTCCGCGCATTTGATGGTGACGTCATAGGATTTGAGAGAGAGGCGTTGTGCTTCTCAAGCCCTAAACAGCCCCAAGAGCCCTGAACTCCACAGATCATGCAAACCCTACCTAGAACCCCCAGGTATATATCTATATATATATATATATATGAACCCATGAAGAACCCATGAACCTGCAAACGAGGTGGCGTGATGGGGGGTGGGTGAGGGGTGAGAAGGTGGGAAGGGGGGGCCCTGTTTATGCAGAATAGTATATTGGGGAGGTTACAGTAAACGGATCGTTTTCGGCTCCTTAAGTCATCTGCAGCCTGCTTTTTCCGCAAGGAGTTTGAGCGACAAAGCATGCATCAGAAGGCCTGATCTGCAACTCACAAAAGGGGCTTAGGGTTTAGGGTTTAGGGTTTAGGGTTTAGGGTTTAGGGTTTAGGGTTTAGGGTTTAGGGTTTAGTTTCCAAATAGAAATGACCGAAGAGCCTTGGGCCGTCTGAAGATCTGGCAAGCCCGGATCCCTAGATTTAGGTTTACACCATCTTCCTACCTTTGAGCTTCCTAAACTGACTAACCGAAATATTGAATTATCCCAAGCAATTACTATAGGCATACCGACCTTAAGACTCTAACGTGGATCCTTTCTGGGTGAAATGACGCTTTCTAGTATAGGCCAAAAGAGGTACTACACTACAGTCTTCGCGTTTCGAGTTCAGGGGGGTTTAGGGTTTAGGGTCTAGGGTGTTTCTCCCAACCTTTACCTGTGCAGCGTTTGTGAGTTAGGTTCGCGGGTTTCGAAGAAGGTTTGGGGTTTAGCCTTTTCCCTCGAGCCACCTTGAACCCTCAAAAAGAAGGATGTGTGCCTGAACTATTGGTGTATTTCCCTGGTTTAAGGGTCTAGGGGTTACTCGGTTACTCTGAGTAGGGTTAGTTAAGGCCCGGGGTGGGCTGGGGGGGGCACCAGGCCTCAAACCAACATCGTGGTACCAGCATGGCAGGATCAACATGATCCCGACAGGTTTAGTGGAACCAACAACCACGCACTACACCCTCCTTCAAATCTAAGCCTGGCACCCCAAAAGTAAGAACCCAGTGAAGACCTTTGACTCTTCATTCTGTAGCTGGCAGCAAGCAACAGAACACATCTTGTCAGGCTCGATTTCTATGCAGCCTCGCCTTGCTGGACGATGCAAGTCAAGCCAGGCTCAATCATTGGGTCACGACGAACGCGCATTTCAAGGCGGGTCTTATTGACGGGTCGAGGGAATTCTCCAGTGAGGGCATTGCTGATGGTAGAGGCTTTTCGAAGAGATACGCATACACACACACATGTACGTGTGTATATATATATACATAAGATCAGACACGCGCGCACACTTTTGTCTGGGCATGAGCACATTGAACACATGACTGTGTCTTCGCTGTGCATCAATCTGTGCCCAAACTCAAGAAGGCCCATGAGCAGACGAAGTATACTTGGAGGTTCATGGTACTTATCAACCAACTTTATTTGTACTTGCAACTGTACCTATAACCATATCAGGGCACTTACGGGGCTTATAAGTGGGTTATAAGTACAGTTATAAGTGCTGAATAAGTACCATGAACCTCCAAGTAGGTACCTTTGCATGGGGTTCGGGAGGGGGGTCTTCGTGCCACCCCTCCTAGTCCAACATGCTGAATGCCGAGACCACCATATCCAAGTGTTGCCCACACACACGCCAGGGCTTTCAGATGTTATTGTAAGGCCGTCCAAAATGTCACCCAGGTCTTATGCCGGATACGAAAAGAGCTCGGGAAGACGCAGGATTCAGTGTTCATCCGCTCGCGAGCTTTCATTGCAGTTAAGGCAGCCGTTCCTTGGCTTTCCAGGTCTGAACTGCCAGCTGCTTTCCACTGACTTTTTTTCTCGAGCCCATGCCAACCAGAGCGTCCGAAAGCTCACGCCCTAAACCCTCAAACCGAAACCCTGAAACCCCCAAACCCTAAGCCCTAAGCCCTGAAACCCTGAACCCTGAAACCCCGCATGTAAGGTCCCGGCGGATGGTGCATGGCACAGCTGGGACAGCATCCTGGGGCCGGATGGCCCTCTGGCGGCCTTCTGGAAAGACGTGAAGAGATGGGTGGACGATGCTCGGCTTGGGGGCCCTGGGAGCCCCCCCATTAGGGCTTAGGGTTTATGGCTTGGGGTTTGGGGTTTAGGTTTAGGCTTCAGGGCTATAAGGACCTAAATCAGGGTCCAGCATTCACCGGAAAGGGCCTTAGGGTCTAGGGCTTAGGATTTAGGGTTTAAAGGCTTTAGGGCGTAGAGACCCCCCCCAATTTTGAAAACGCTCACAAGCCAGGCAGGGCCGCACACGACTAGCGGCTACGGCCACCTCCATGTAGTGCTATCTTTCTCCTGCAGTCATTCCCACGAGTGTTTAAGCCTTGGTAGGCCAGGGGTGCCCTTTTTTTTGTTCGGGGTTCCCTATAAACAAAGCAATCAACCTAAAAGGGGTGCCCTTATGAAAGTATGGCTGCTGGGCTACCGAGAAGCTGCGTTATGCTAACCCTAAACCCTAAACCCTAAACCCTATACCCTATACCCTATAACCCTAAACCGTAAACCCTAAACCCTAAACCCAAAACCCTAAAGCCAAGGACAGGTTTAACCTCACTGCGCCCTCAGAGTGGCACGCCGTTCCGGAGGCCCTCTTTCCCTCTTGCCCTACCTTAAGAACCCCCAAAACCCACTTTTTTTGTAGGTTACCTAAGAATCCTCTAAGGGGCTGTATAGCAACCCACTTTCCTGTAGGTTACCTAAGAATCCTACAAGGGGCTGTATGGCGCACTTCGGACATCTCCCCGCAAGACCCCCCTTTCTTCACGATGTCATTATATGCTACTACATTCTCATCTTCGTATATGTTTATGTTGTATCAACATATAGCAAGATCAGAATATACTAGCATATATCATGTTACAGTTATCCCCAGCATACGACACTATGTTTAGATGAGCATCGGAGCCCAGTCCGCTGTGCTATGTGGATTGCAGGTAGGGGTTGAGGGTCTTTGGAGTTTGGACCTATGAAAGTGGCTAAACATGCCGGCCATTTCTAGCAGTTTTAGGCATCCCATGTTCCCATGCAAACCATGCTGAAACCGTTGAGTCCACTGAAGCTTCATTTCGTTGTCAGGTCATGGCCATGGTGATGACTCTGGGCTGATACTGGTATCGTGGTATCACGGAGGTTTGGCGATTTACTGGCACGTGATAGGCCTGAAAACCCTCACATTGCAACACTATGGATGCCATATGCATGCCGCGCGCGAGAGAGAGGGGTCTTATTTGTGCGCAGCTTTTCCTTAATCATTAATCATTGCATATAGTGCTTTCTTCTGTCCATTCTGCGTGTAGTCTTTATGCTGACCACATGAAGCATCAGCTTACTGAACGAGCTGCTCAGCATGAGCAATGGAAGGCACGATCTAAACAGGTTTCTGAAGATGAACCTGCGCCCCCCCAGCGCGATCAGTGCTACAGCAGAAATTACGGTGGACAACACGGATGGCATGACCACATGCTTGCAGCTGCTCGGGGGCTTTGCGCGTCTTCAGCTCTTGGTCTCCGCTACTGTATAGTCTAGGGTTTAGGGTTTACAGGGTTTACATAGCTTGGTAGCCCAGTGGTACCCTGTACCCTTTTTTGGGGTTCAAGGTTCCCTTAAAGCATAACCAATCCAAAAAAAGGTACCCTGATATGGTTACTGGGCTACCAAGATAGGTAGTTTTCTCAGAAGGGGTCAGTGGCTGACAGCAGCTCAGCGTGACGAAGCAACCTGGATCTGGCGTGCAGAGTCCAGATGCAAAAAGGGCTTAGGGTTTAAAATCCCTACTTGGAGGATCATGGGACTTGGCAAGTAGGGTCTAATTGGGGTTACGAGTGAGTGAGTGAGGAGTGACTGCCAACTGGGTGGGTAGTTGGTAGCCATGCCTTAGGCGCTATCCCTCCTGCCTTCTCAGGGGGCTCCGATACGTCATTGCACCCTCCGGTTGGCTGCGCCCCCCGGGTTCCGAAAACGTCATCACCCGAAGGCAAAAAGGGAAAGGGGGGGGGGGGAGGGGGCTCCTCGGACTCACTCACTTCACAACAGATGTCAAAAGCAGGGGCCGTTGACCGACCATGGCTAACATTCAGCCATCCCACGCACCAGGCACCTCAAGCCAGTATGCCCTCAGAGTGGAAAGGGCAATGCCTGGAACTGTTTGGCACCGCCCCCCGAATGAGGGGTATTGGGGTTACAAGTATTTGTGATTGTAGTTGCCCTGATCATTACCCTACTTGCTAAGTTCCCTGATCCTTTAAGTAGCAGTAAGCTCGACAAGCCGTGCAGTGCCCAAATAGCGTAGGACGGCGCGACTGCCACCCTTACAACCAAGAGTGGAGACTAGCCGTTTAGGGTTTAGGGTTTAGGGTTTAGGGCTTAGGGTTCTTTATGCTGCAAATCACCAAGGAGTACTTGCGGCAACGTGGAGGCGGGCGTGGGGATGTTGAAGCAATGCTAAGTTAGTAAGGTGATTTTAACAAGTGTTTTGATGATTATATGCCTAGATGATAGTGATGATAGCTTGCGAAAAAACACAAACCAAAAAGTTTCACCCTGGTTCCGAGTACAGAATAGAAGCCCGGCTGCAAAAGAATCGAATTGACGAAGGTTCTGTTGTCTTGCGCCAAGGTTGTTAAGGGCTGGCCTGGCCTCAACACTTGAAGGTTCATGGGTACATGTAGGGTTTAGGGTTTAGGGTTCAGGGTGTAGGGTTATAGATTCGGGAACTATACTTATATATCCCTATTTAGGGTACTTATCACCGCACTTCTAGCTACCCTGAACCTCCAAGTAGGAGTTCTATGCTTCTTGCTCGGCGTGGGCAGTGATATTTACAGAGTGGTGTCCGAAGTTTGGGGTACCTTAGTTGGGGTCCCTATTAGTAGGGTCCCTATTGTAAGGGTCCCTCGTAGACGGCCCACAATTTGGGGTTTGGGGTTCCTCTTTTCATAAACCCCTATAAGGGGCGGTTGGGAATTGCTGCGGTCGGCGCCTAGAGGGGGGGGGGGGACAAAAGATTTCTTTGGGTTTAGGATGTCGGGCAAGCACAGCACGTCCAAATGCTGCTATCCTGAGGACCTGGTGAACGCCTAGCGTTAAGAGAAAAGTCAGCGTTTCTCAGAGTCCCAAACCTAATCACAATCCGGAAGACTGGAAGGTCAAGGCACTGGACGCACACGGCCGCCATGTGGGCCAGAAGAGAACCTCCAGCGAGTCTTCACCCGGCGTCTAACACCTCCGGCACGAAAACCCATACTAAGCCTTCGAACCCGAAAACCTGAACCCGAAAATCTGAACCTTAAACTCTAAACCCTAAACCCTAAGCTCCCCCCACTGCCGCTTGACAAGGTGGACCTTCTCAAGGGCATTCTACGGAAGCAGGCTGCTCCCGAACCTCCGCCCCCGGAGAAGCCGAAGCCCCCCCCGTGGGCGGCATCAGAGGACGTCCGGGCTTTGTAGGGTTTAGGGTTTAGGGTTTAGGGTTTAGGGCTTAGGGCTTAGGGTTTAGGGTTTAGGGTTGCAAGCCCAGTTGCAAAACAAGAAGGGTTCAGGGTTGGGGGTTTAAGGCTTAGGCTCACCCGAAGTAGGAGCGTAGGGTCATGCACCTGGGATGAATATTTAGTTCACTTGTTTCACTGACGCAGTTTGCGTTTGGTCACGCAGCCGCGCATCAAACCTTAAGAACCCAAAACCTACTCTTTTCGTAAGAATCCTATAAAGGGATTTATACTAGGAACCTACCAAAAAGTGGGTTTGGGGCTCTTAAACCCTAAACCCTAAATTGCTCTGATGTCGGGCTGGGAGTCCATCAACTTTGTTAATTACGGAGCCTGAGTCAGGGTTCCAATACCACTCAATTAAGGAACATTTCTTACATCATGATAGGGTTCCTTCTATGGCTGAAGGAATATTCCTTCGGCAAGGGGTATTGGGCTCTCTTGGGCCCCCGGGGCATCATTTGTGACAGCTGTCTGCACTTTTCTGGGAACTGTTGGGCTACAAACTGGTGGGCGCCCGAACTTTCTCAAGCATGTGGCTTTTTTTTGAACAGTTGAAATCTCAAGGTTGGATGTTCCTCCTTATACTAACAGGCCTTAATAGGGATCCGAATACGGGGGTCTATAATCCCTATGAAGGACTGTTTGAAAACCCCAATTCATGCCTACAGAATTTTGAGCGCAACTCCTGCGTGTGGAAGGAAAAGACAGCTGGCACTGCTGCCGCTTCTTCCGAAGTGGACGACAGTGCATCGAGCTTGACCATTGCCGAGAGAATCGAAGACGCCGTTCTCGAGCTGTACAAGATGTCCAAGAAGAGCCAAGACGAATTCCTTGACCCGAAGGAGGTGGACTGGATCCGCACTTGGGCAACTTTTTGCCCCAACAAGTCCCACACCTCAAGCCTCAAATCCACCAGATTGCTGAACTTGCTAGAGCGGTTCATGTAATCGTATATTCAAACCCTAAACCCTAAACCCTAAACCCTAAACCCTAAACCCTCCTAAACCCTAAACCCTAAACCTAGTACTGTGGAACCAAGCCCAGACCTCCTATCCCAACTTCACCGGACTGCCTGTAGACCAGAGCACGTCTTTGCGCTGGGTGGAGGTTCTTTTGGCTGGTTCTTAGTAGGGAATGAGGTACCCTGTATAATCCCTTAAAGGGTATATATGGGGGCCCTAATTCCCTCATTCCCTACTAAGAACCCAGGGGGTTCTTCTTTTGAAGCCCGAAACCTGTCGCAACTCCCGCGGAGCCCTGCAAGGTGAAGGAGCATCTTAAGCTGAGGCTGGGATGCTTTGGGCTCCTCTCCACCCTCCCGCCCCCCCATTATGAAGCAGGGTTTATATTACCGTTTTTGGTGAGTGTGTAGAAGGTTCCTTTTTAATATTGGTGAGTGTAGACCTTGGGTGTCCTTTTGGGGGTGCAAGAAATATATGCCCTGCTTCATACATCAACCGTGGCTTTATGCAGATCATCGGGCCCTATTTTGAGTAGACTTATGTTTGAAGGAAATGCTTAGGGGCCGAACCCAAGAGGTGTTTCCAATTCCTGCGCGCGCTTGCAGGGTTGAGAAGTTGAGGGTTGGGCAGAGGCCCACCCTTACACCATCAATCAAATCAGTGTCTGTCACAAGGATCCCTGTACCTATACAATGCATACTTGGACCCTAATAGAGGAGCCCCTTTCAGGGCCCAGTATATCTGGCCAGATGGATCTTTGGGACCCATGGCCCCTAAACCCGAAACCCCCTAAACCCCAAACCCTAAACCCACGCAGGCTGAAAGACTTCAACCAGCTGCCGTCGGACTTTGCCGAGAACAAGCACACCTTTGAAACGCCGAAAGGTGGCGGTGTCCGGATAAGGCTGGAGAAAGGTGCGCCGTCCGAGGTTTAGGGTTTAGGGCTTAGGGTTTAGGGTTTAGGGCTTAGGGCTTAGGCCTTAGGCCTTAGGGTTTAGGGTTTAGGGTCTAGGAAGGCCGGATTAGGATTGAGGGTGGCGTCGACCTGGCGCTCCGGACGCGCTTGCCCTCAGGAGCCTTCCTGAATGCAGAGATCCGAGCGATGGAGCGCGAGAACGCCGCAGAAAGAAAGGGAGAGATGACGGTTTGCACAACGGTACTTCCGCAACTTCCTGCAAGCAGGGGCAAATCCTAAACCCTCAACTGCGAAGCCTGTGTTTCTACCGGGATTTAGGGTTTAGGGTTTAGGGGTTTAGGGTTTAGGGTTTAGGGTTTAGGGTTTAGGGTTTAGGGTTTAGGGCTATCGTTCGACCTGCAGAAGCCCTCAAGCCTGCACCACAAATCCCAGGCAGCTGTCGCCAGATCGGCTTCCAAAAGTCCTCAAGAAGAAGGAGATGTGCGGCCTCATGGTCCTGACTCTTTGCTGAGTTTAGGGTTTAGGGTTTAGGGTTTTGGGTTTAGGGTATACACTACTTGGAGGTAATGGGGATTATAACAGGAGGTACTAGGGTTTGGGGCTAAGGGTTTAGGTTTTGGGTTTGCTGAGTTTACTTGGAGGTTCATGGTACTTAGTAACCAAATGATAACAGGATATATAACCTCACTATAACCCCACTGGGGTACTCAAGGGGCTTGTAGCTGGGTTGTGACTACACTCATAATTGGGTGAGAAGTACCGTCCTGACTCTTTGCTGAGTGTACTATAGGGGCCTGAAAAAATCTAACAGGGTTTTTGGGGGGGTCATTATAGTAGAAAGGGACCATAAGGGAAGATGATTAGTAGTTATTCCGAGCCCGATATTTTTTTTATACACTACTTTGAACCCTACTTGGAGGATCATGGGGCTTAGTAAGTAGGGTTATAAGTAATTGTAGCTATCGTTGTTCTTAATTATCACCCTACTTACGAAGTCCCCTGCCCTTAAGTAGGGTTTTGAAACTACTTTGTAGGGGTTTCAGAGGGCCTTTAAGGGGGTTCGAGGGTTCAATAGGGTTTCCTTAGGTGCGGGTTCTCAGAGGGTCATGTCATATACTAGGTAGCCCCTTTGGGATAGTTCATATCTTCCCTTCTTGGGCTTAAGAGGTTCAGGAATGTTTTTTTCTTGGGCTTTTCAGGGCGGGTTTAGGGTTTAGGGTTTAGGGTTTAGGGTTTAGGGTTGAAGAGACTTAGGACTTTCAGGTTTTGCGGAGGAGCCACTTGTTAACCGGGCGAGAGACACTCACGGCCTGATGTCAACGGTGTTTGATGTGGTTTCGGTTCCGGAGATTTCTGTGGGCGGCTGGGTTTACAGGGGCTCCAAGCTCATGACCAAATTGGCTTGCTTGTTAAGTTCCGCGAATGTTGCACTCGTTTTAGTGTCAAGGGGGCACCATGAAGCGGTGTTTCCGGAAATCTTATAGGGGACCCCCCCCCCCCCAATTGATGAGGGTGGTCCTCAAGTATGCGAAGGGCGGGGGGCGGGGAGCCAAAATCGAAAATATGTTTAGAATAAGAAACTCCGGAATTTTCTGGTGTCCAGCTTTATTTAAATTCCTTTTGATAAATTTCATTACTAAACAGGCCCCCAAACATGATTCGCTTTTAGTAATTGTTTCGGTTTCCCGCATCAATCCGCAGCCTCCCTGGCCAGGGAGCCTGGAAAGCTTAGACGCTCAAGCTTCAAGGCTTCCCCTCAACCCTCGACCCCTACAGCCCCCGTCCCAGACCCCAGCCCAGATTTTTCAGGATCCCCCAAAACCCCAAAATTGTTTGGCGCGGTGGGGGCGGGGGCAAGACTATGGCGTCAGATCGTTGCAAGCGCTGTTTGAGGACGACTTTTTGTTCTTGTTGTTATGCACACACACACACACACACCCACGCATGCACGCAGGCATAGGTTCGCTCAGGCACGCTCAGGCGTGCTCGCGCGCACAGGCACGCACGGGCACACGCAGGCACGCACGCAGGCACGCACGCACGCGCACACACACACACACACACACACACACAACACACACACACACACACACACACAACACACACACACACACACACACACACACACACACACACACACACACACACACACACACACACACACACACACACACACACACACACACACACACACAACACACACACACAACACACACACACACACAACACACACACACACACACAACACACACACACACACACACACAACACACACACAACACACACACACACACACAACACACACACACAACACACACACACACACCACGTAGTCTACAAGAAATCTGCCAGAGATCTTGGACGTTTCCTTGGGTTGAGGTCTGCGTGGGTCCATAGGGGTAACTCGGTCGTAATAGGGTTTGGGGAACTTAGAACTTCAGGGTTCAGGGGCTGCTTCTGCTCTCGAGCAAGGATGGGTGAAACGAAGGGATGGCAAACTGGCATCCCATCGTCAATGCTCAAGCTTCTCCTCGCGGATAAGCAAGTCGCTGCCTCAGCTGCCAGAAACTGCCGGAGGCATTGTATAGCTGGCGTTGCTGTTGGCTGGGTGCAGGGGCCCGTGTCTCGAAGCTGGGGAAACAAGTTCCCAACAAAATCCGTCCGTATTCGTGAGGTTTGAGATGTTACAAATGTCTTTGTTCTGCGGTCTCGTCGCTTAGGGCTGACTAGGTCATGGCCTCTTTGTGATTATGTGGTTCTCAGTAGGGAATCAGGTAATTCAGGGCTATATCTACCCTTTTAAGGGAGAAAATAGGTACCTCATTCCTTCATTCCCTACTAAGAACCAGCCAGTAAGAGTGGGCTTGAGTCGATGCAGGCCACTTCATGAAATAAATCACCCAAGAGCAGCTGTGAATAGCTCCTCCCTGGAAGGACAACAAGCAATTGCTGCTGGAGACATGGCTTTTTGGGAGCCTTTTTGGGGTTTTGGGCCGTCCGTTTTTGGGGGCGGAAAGGCTTGCAACTGCCAGTTCAGGAGATGACCCCCTTCCATGCAGCACACTTGATGCGTTCCATTGTCAGCTGCGAGAAGGTGTGCGCTGCTCGGCCATGTTGGGTGCTGTCGTGTGGGCACACCAGAATAATCTTCTTTGCGTGGGCCAGGCTTATTAGCCAGGGGCAAGACTGTTGCCTGCGAGCTGTTGCGGAGAGGGATAAGCATGGAATGAAAGGGCCTGCCACTGGCAAGCACCTGCCACTGGCAAAGGCTGTGCGAGAGGTGACTGTAGATGATTGCATGGCCTTTGGAATGTGTCGGCAAGATTTGATTCTTGAGCTTGCTGGTGGCACTTGCGGTAACCACTAGAAGAACCAGCCAGCGATGACTCAGATGTCAGCCATAGACTTATAGAGCGAGCGACTGCAAGGGCAACAACACAAATAATCCATCCAGACTTATAGGGTTTTCGAGCATCTGCCCGTAAAAAGGCCGAGCATGATCATGAAGGCTCCAGAAGCCCTTATGCGGCCCCCTTGCTGGAGGACTTCTTGCTCACCCCATAAGCGCGATGCTCGAAACTTCCACGATCTCTCGTGACCACAACAGTCGTAAATCTCCATGCGGCTCATGAATACGACAAAGCTAGTCGCATTCTTCCTTCAGACCCCACAAACCTATGCTTCTCCAGATGTAGGAGGAGCAGGGCTTACAGCAGTGAAAGGAGTAGGATTTAGGGTTTAGGGTTTAGGGTTTAGGGTTTAGGGTTCAGGGTTTAGGGTTTAGGGTTTGGGGAGTAGTGGAGGGGCTGCAAGGAGTAGGGAGAATTGTGGGCTTCGGTTTCGCAGTTCACGTGGCCAGCAACTCAGGACAACAAGTTCCATCCTGAGTCGCTCTGCACGCTCGTGCAGGTGACGCGTGAGAACAAAGGACTGAAATCAGGACTAGTTAAATGTATGTGGCATTTTTGTATATTGTTGGATGTTTTGTTTACATTAGGGTTTTGTTTGGCCTTTGGATGCAAAGTACTGAGTATTCCATCAAATCCTTCTCCCCTTCCAATAGTTCTCCGCTTCAAGGCTTCATGCAGAATTTCGCATTTAGGGCTTCGAGCCTCACTACCTTGCATTCAACATTCTATTCCATCCCCTACCCCGCTCCTACCGGACCGTGAGAAAGGATATATAGGGGAGTTCTTTACACGATGTGCGGGTTCGTATCAGATGGCAAGAAGCCACCACAAGGGAAGGTAGAGTTGAGCTTGAGAAGCTTTGTTGGGGCTTCCTTTTCCGGTGAAGGAATACGAACAAAAGGTTTCGGGACCTGAAGCAACAAAAGGGAACCTGCGGCTACAGTCCTTGACTGTCGAGTTTGCATTGTAACCCTAAACCCTAAACCCTAAACCCTAAACCCTAAACCCTAAACCTAGGTGGCAGCCATGGACATCATGATAGACAGCAAGCAGCCGCCCCGATGCCGAGCGCCCCTTGCGATTGTCAGGGACAGCGTGAGGGCGGCGGCTCGGTCCTTGTTTCGGGTTTGGGGCTGAGGGTTTAGGGTGGGTTCAGGGTTCAGGGTTTAGGGTTTAGGGTTTCGGTTTCGGGTTTGGGATGTTCCCCTTTATACTAGCAGCTCCTTAGTAGGGATCATGATTAGGGGGGGGGGGGGGGGAGGTACCATAATCCCTATTGAGGACTCTTAGCACAAACGGGGACTATCCCACGGTGAAGCTTGGAACGCACAAATCCGGAACCTACTGGTGCCCGAGTTCACTCTAAACCCTCAACCCTACTTGAAGGTTCATGGTGCGTATAACTCTACTTAAGGGATTTAGGGTTTAGGGTCTAGGGTTGAGGGTAACTGTACTTATAACTGTACGTATAACCATACTAGGGCACTTCCGGGGCTAATAAGTGGGTTATAAGTACAGTTATACTTGGTTAAGAAGTACCATGAACCTCCAAGTAATCCCTAAGCCCTAAACCCTAAACCCTAAATCTGACCCAGGCTGCCCAGAAGGTCTTCGTGACAGCCCTGAAGGCGAAAAAGCCTGAGATCATGAGGCAGTTTTGGGGCTTGGCATGCTTCTGGCTTGCACTCTAGGGTTTAGGGTTTAGGGTTTAGGGTTTAGGGTTTAGGGTTTAGGGTTTGTGGGTTATAAGTAGGTTGTAAGTGGGTTATAAGTACAGCTATACTTGGTTAATGAGTACCATGAACCTCCAAGCACAGGAAGTCTTGAGAGCTGAGGCTTTAAGCAGACCTCCCGGCCCATGATTCCTCTCTCAGGCTTGCACCCAAAAGCCTTTGGCCCCGAACCCTCTTTACCGAAAGCCTTTCCTATAAACTTGGACCCATAAGCCACAAGCCCTTCAAATAAGTCGAGGCAAAAAACACTTGCCTCAACATCCCCAGCTGTTCACTCTGACCTTCCCTCCATCAGCATAACCTCCTTGAGCAACTCATTGGAAACCCTAACCCTAAACCCTAAACCCTAAACCCTAGACCCTGTCAGACCCCTACAGTTCTATTCAGTTTGGCTCTGCCTGTCACCCACTGCACTTCCTCCATAGTGATGGCTCCGCATGATGCCCGGGATCTTGTCCACCGCACGGATAGACATGGGTTTAGGGTTTAGGGTTTAGGGTTTAGGGTTGAGGGTTTAGGGTTTAGGGTTTAGGGTTTTAGGGTTTAGGGTTTAGGGTTTAGGCATAAAAAAAGGTGTCGGACTAATTGCCAATAGTGTTCCCTCATGGTCCCTTGAGAATCATACTATGGTAACCCCCAAAACCCTGTTCAAATTAATCAGGCCCCTATATAGGTGAGTCACCCGTCTCCGTCACACGGACCTTTCTGGTTGCATCAGGCTCTTCCGACCCTTCAGGGTTTAGGGTTTAGGGTTTAGGGTTCAGACCCCGAATCTCAAGCCCTTCGCAACCCAGGCTGTCGCGCCCAGATGGAGGCCTCAGCTGGCAACCACTTCTTGTCGAGCTACAGCTCCTGGGCTGTTGAGTCGTATACGTTTTCCCTAAACCCTAAACCCTAAACCCTAAACCATGTTGGGTTCCGGGTTCCCTATGTTAGAGGTAGGTAGCCCGAAAAGTACGTACCTTTCTCCCCTGGGCCACTGAAAGAACGAAGGCTCCTTCACTTGCTTCGCGGAGTTCATGCAAGCCATGGCAAACCTCTACAGCAGTGCGAAGGAGCTCTTGAAGACAGAGGCTAGGCCCGGACTTGACGTATGTGTGTGTATGTACATGCATAAGTTATATATATATATATCTATGTATGTATGTATCTATGTATGTATGTATGTATGTATGTATGTATGTATGTATGTGTATATATATATATATACATATGTATAATAAGAAAGGCAAGTATACTGAAGCCACCAAGCAGGACCACGGATACTTCTCTTCTAAGTAAGATTCGTAAGTAGGGTAACTCTAGCTAGAACCTTTTGTAGGGTACTTAGATTAGAGGTTCATGGATACTTCTAAGTAAGGTTCACAAGTAGGGTAGCTGTAATTAGAACCTTATGTAGGGTACTTAGAACCCCACTCCGAAGTACCTGAGAACCTTCGAGCGCGCAGGTCGACGTAGCCAAGCAGACACTGACCCGGCTGCGCAACGCCTGCGAGCTGTTGTCGAGACTTGGTGTGCTCCTAAACCCTAAACCCTAAGCCCTAAACCCTAAACCCTAAACCGTGAAGCGAATCCGTCTGAAGTAGAGGTTCGCCCTTTGGCAACTTGTTGGGGGGATTCTCTTGACAAGAGCGACTGGACTGAAACGCCGCCACTCCCGAGACCTCAAGTGGGCTCGGACAAACAGGGTTCAAGGTATTCTTATAGGCGCTTGGGTTATCTTGTAAAGTTTCCCCTATGAAGCCTAAGAGCATGTTTAGGAACATTTGTCAGAGGGTGCCCGAGATTCTTAAGGGACCAGTCATTCCATCGTTTTTTTTTTTTTTTTTTTTTGGGGGGGGGGGGGTGCGGGAGTTACGGGAACAGTGTGAGCCCCTAAACCCTAAACCCTGCACCCTAAACCCTAAACCCTAAACCCTAAACCCTAAACCCTGCGCCCAACCCAGGAAACAGGAAACCATACAGGGGACGCCTATAGCCGACCCTGAGGGCCTCTCCAGGCTGGACCTCCCTGAAACAGTCTTGATAGGGGGGGGGGGGGGTTCCGATATTTCGGGTGTAGGGTTTAGGGCTTAGGGCTTAGGGTTTAGGGTTTAGGGTTTAGGGTTTATTTAGGTTTAGGGTTTAGGGGTTAGGGTTTCGGGGGAGTGGGGGGGGGGGGTTCCCTCCAAGGGGATTCGATGTGGCTTAGCGGTGCCCCTATGTTGGGAAAATGCCTTGTTTTTTGGGCGGAGGGGACATGGGTTTGGGGTTTAGGGTTAAGGGTTTAGGGTTTGGGGTTTAGGGTTTAGGGTTTAGGGGTTGAGAGGGCTTTATGTTGGCTTGGTGCCCCCAACCTGGAGCCTTGAGCCCCAAAAGGGCCACAAAAAAAGGGGGGGGGGGGGTTGTCGCGTTGCTTCGGGTCTTCGGGTTCACCATGAAGAGCTTGGCTCTCCGAAACCTAAGCTTTGCTCTCCGAAGCCGGAGTCGAGTGTGCCTTTTCTCGGGGTGCTGCCTAAACCCTAAACCCTAAACCCTAAACCCTAAACCCTGTAGATTGGGAAGGGGGAGTTGAGTATGCCTTTTCTCGGGCTAAACCCTAAACCCTAAACCCTAAACCCTAAACTAAACCCTAAACCCTAAACCCTAAACCCTGTAGACTGGGAAGGGGGGCACGGGATCTTCCGCCCATGCTGGAACCAAGCCCTGGCAGGCTCGTGTGGGTTTTCGCAAACTTCGCGCCGGAACCTCGTCCAAGCTGCGAGGTTTGCAGCTGTAGGGTTTGGGGTTTGGGGTTTGGGGTTTAGGGTTTAGGGTTTAGGGTTTAGGGTTTAGGGGTTTAGGGTTTAGGGTTTAGGGTATAGGCGGGTATAGGGTTTAGGATGCACAGCTCAGAGTTTCCCATAAGGAACTGGGTGAAGAGACCAGAGAGGACGTGGTCAAGCCGGCTTTGCAACTTTGGCCCAGCAGTGCTTGTGGTTAGGGTTTAGGGTTTAGGGTTTAGGGTTTAGGGTTTAGGGTTTAGGGTTTAGGGTTTAGGGTTTAGGGTTTAGGGTTTAGGGTTTAGGGTTTAGGGTTTAGGGAGTGCGGGCAACATCTGGGGCTCGGATGAGCCTTTTTTCTGGTTCTCAGAAGAGAATGGGGCCCCACATAATCCCTTAGAAGGTTGCCTGATTCCCGCATTCCCCACTAAAACCAGCAAGTGTTGTGTTGAAGGCCCTGGGTTCATGACCAAAAGGTGAGTCAGCTAAACCCTAAACACTAAACCCTAAGCCTTAAGCCTAAATCCTAAACCCTAAACCCTAAACCCCTAACCCTAAACCCTGAGAGTCTGGTGAGGGTGGGGGAATCTCGCTTGCTGGAGACAGGGCCTTGCGTCAGGGTTGCCCCCGGCTCAGGAAGCACATTGAAAAGAGCATTCTCCAGTGCCTCTTGGTTTCAACCAGACTTCTTCCGCTTCCAGATTAGGGTTTAGGGTTTAGGGTATAGGGTTGAGGGCTTGTTTGGCGTTTAGGGTTCAGGGTTTAAGGCTGTTGGGACGTGGTTTCGCAATCGGTCATTCATTTTCTGAAAGGAGTTTTCGCTCTGGAGTTTTGGTTTTGGGGGGGTTGCAAAAAAGGGCACTCAACCCTAAACCCAAAGTCCTACTTGGACGCTCTTTTGACTTAGTCAGTTTACTCTGTATCCCTTCGCGACCCTATAATAATCCACATTCCAGCTTACTTAAGCCTAGACCCTAAACCCTAAACCCTAAACCCTAAACCCTAAACCCTAAACCCTAAACCCTAAACCCTAAACCCTAAACCCTAAACCCTAAACCCTAAACCCTAAACCCTAACAGTAAGTCCAAAGGGCTTCGAAGTAGTCGAGGATTCCGGGGAACCAGGAGGTTGCTCTGCAGACTTGGGACTTTGTTTTACAAGTAGTGTGGCTTGGGACGTTCCCCCTTATACTAGCAGTCCTTAATGGGGATTATAATTCCCTACTAAGGGAGTATAATAGGGGGTACTATAATCCCTATTAAGGGTCCTTAATGGAGATGAAAATAGGGAGTACGATAATCCCTATTCCGGACTCTTAGTACAAGGGGGAACATCCCGAATGTGGCCCCTGCTCAAAACAGATTTTCTACACCATGAATACCTACAGACTCGTTTTAGCGCGGTTTAGGGTTTAGGGTTTAGGGTTTAGGGTTTAGGATTTAGGGTTTAGGGTTTAGGGTTTAGGGTTTAGGGCGCCTTATGAACCCATCATCCTAGGACCTTGAAAGGGATCGACGAGTAGCCAACTGAGCTTGGAACATGGGGCCACATCTGCAGGGGTGCCCTCAACGCCATGGTGCTAAACCCTAAACCCTCAACCCCAAACCCTAAACCTTCAACCCCAAACCCTAAACCCTCAATCCTCAACCCCAAACCACAAACCCTAAACCCCGAACCCAGAGGCGCCTCCCAGCTTTGTTTTTTCAGCACCCTCGGTGCGGGGTTGTTATTTAGCCCGGTCTCCTCCTCGCTCATCCCTGGAGTGCCCAGCCCCAGTGTCCCTGGAGTGCCCAACCCCAGAGTGGCCCCAAAGTGATTTTTGTTTCGGGTCTGGGGGTTTTGGGGGTAGGGGGGGTCGCCTTCTCGTCCCCTCGAACAAGCGGGGGCACCCATCCTATTCCAATCAATCAATCATTCGGGTATCCTTGCTCGAGAGCAGGGCCAGGGCTCGGCTGCTCAACTTATCCGTAAACCCTAAACCCTAAACCCTAACTAAACCCTAAACCCTAAACAGGTCGCTTCTGTGACAGTGGCTGGTCAGTGCACATCCTCTGCACGCTGCTCGTCTCCTATCGGCAGGCCGGCGCGCCCTGCGAGGACGCCCAATGTGTGTGGGGCTAGGGTTTAGGCTTTAGGGGCTAGAGTTTAGGGTTTAGGGCATTCAACGCCCCCCGCCTTCGAAAGGCCGAGTCTCAAACCCCTAAACCCCTCAACTTTAAGCCCGAGACTGCTAGGCAGGTGCCAAGAACAAAAGACAAAACAAAAACAACACACACACACACACACACACCCAAAGACACACACACACACACAAACCCTAAACCCTAAACACCCTAAACCCTCAGCCCGAAGCTCCTGTTCTTTAACTAAACAAAGACAGCTCCAACCTTGATTTCACGAAGACTGCAGCGTCCTGATTATGGGCTCTGGGCTGTGTGCCCCAATGCAAGGTTTGGGGTTAAGTTTGGAAGGGTTTAGGGTTTAGGGTATACTGATGTTTGGGTTTCAGGTGTTCAGGATGTCGAGGGTGTTTAGGGTTTTCGGTGAAACGGGCTGTCGTGTCGGACTTGACAAGGATTGGCATGGTTCCTTGGAGGTTCATGGGTAGTTATAAGTAAGGTTATGAGCACATACCCTACATAGGGTTAAGAACTATAGCTACCATAATTCTAACCCTACCTCTAACTACCCATGAACCTAGAAGTAGGACCGGTTGTGTGAGGAGCTCTTGCACAAAGTTGCCTCGGCCTTGCGCGAGCGGGCGGGCAAGAAAGAGACAGAGTTGAAGCGAAACTTCTCCTGGTTCAGCTGATTCGTGTGGACCGTGGGCTGTGCCCCCCCCTTCTACTAACAGTCCTTAAAAGGGTTCAGGGTACTTATAACCACCCCAATAGGGTTATCATTGGGTTACCATGAACCTCCAAGTACCCTAAGCCCTAAAGTACCTCCGATGATAATCCCCCATGAAGGACTGCTGGTACAAGGGGGAACATCCCAAGTCGCACTTTTGGATCCCGTAAACTCTGTTAGGGTTTAGGGTTTAGGGTTTAGGGTTTAGAGTTTAGGGTTTAGGGTTTAGGGTTTAGGGTTTAGGGTTTAGGGTTTAGGGTTTAGGGTTAGGCCGGGGGGGGGTTGGGGCTTAGGGGCACAGCTTGTTGGAACCCCCCCCCAACCCACAACCCATGCCAAGGAGCTGATGTGGTGAGGATCCTGCAGGCCTACAGGGAGTCAGGACTGCACCAGATCTTGGACAGCTTCCTACAGTCACTCCAAGAGAAGCAACTTGGGTGGCACTTCCGAAAAAATAGCCTTGTTCTTTTTGGCATAAACAAGGAGGTGTCTTGCGAAGTTGCGCAGCGCGCAAGCCCTAAACCCTAAACCCTAAACCCTAAACCCTAAACCCTAAACCCTAAGCCCTAAGCCCTAAACCCTAAACCCTAAACCGCCAAAGGCAGTGGTTCAAGCACCACCTGAAGGATGCAGGGAAGGAAGAGATTCCGATCCTCCTCGCCGCGATGCTTCGTGTGAAAGACGACGCAGCTTTTGAGGACTTCGAGATCCTTGGCTGGCATCTGCTGGCTGGTTTTTAGTTTAGGGTTTAGGGTTTAGGGTTTGGGGTTTGGGGTTTAGGGTTTAGGGTTTAGGGTTTAGGGTTTATTCAGGGTTCGTTGGGCTCCTCCCTGACCGCAGACGTGGCCATTTCTCTAAATCCGGGTCCCTTTTTGGGGTCCTTATTCGAAGACCCTAAACCCTAAACCCTAAACCCTTTTAGTGTACCCCAAAAAGGGACCATCATCAGGAGAAGCTGAGCACATGTTGTCACCGCATCCTACGAACACAAAGGTGCTGTCCGAGGTTTCCAGTTTTTTGTTTAGGGTTTAGGGTTTATATACGGTTTAGGGTTTAGGATTTAGTGTTCAGGGTTCAGCTGAGGCGGTACATCCAAGGGAGCGACAAGATGAAGGATTATTCTCTGTCACTTGGTAGCCCAGTGGTACCCTTTACTTATTTTGCGATTGGTTCCCTTACAAAGTCAACAACCCCAAAGAAGGGCCGAACTTACTTTAACTTGGTTTCTGGGGCTACTAAGGTCTCACCTCACCGTGTTGATGAAGGACTCTTCGCTCCTTGTTCTGCTGCACGCTAAGCTGCCCCCAAGTCGGCAACAGCTCCAAATGGGCACCACGCGCTGCAGGGTTTGGGGGGACACAACTACCTACAAAATGAAGCTGCAAAGTCGCTCCATAGCATCCTAAGGATGCAGACTTGAGCAACTCAGGTCACGAGTTGATACAGGCTTTAAGATCGAAGCACACGAACCTTAAGCTCTTGAAACGCCACTGAACTTGCGTATCTATATATATATACATATACATACGTATGCAAATATATATATATATATATATATAGCATATACACATATATGCGTATACGTGGAACCCCCCCCCCCCGGTGTGACCTAGCCTTCGCTTCCCACATATGTACCGTATTTGCCCCTAAACCCGAGCCCTCAACCCTAAAACCCTAAATCCTCAACCCACCCCCCCCCCCCCCCAGAGGGGGGGCATGCTTTCCCTTGGGGGCGTCTGGGGGGGAAGGGATTGCGCAACATTGCACCGTACATGGTGCAAGCCCCCCCTCCCTATTTATAAACACATGCATGTGTCTATATGCGTGTGTTCATTCAAATAGAGATATACTACAAAAAGAAGAACATGACTTCGTGTATTTCAGGTTCCTGAACAGCAACCCGGCTTCGGAAAAGGGATTGGAACAACCTCCATAAACCCTAACCTCCGAAACCCCCTAAACCCCTAACCCCCTAAACCCCCTAAACCCCTAAACCCCTAACCCCCTAAACCCCTAAACCCCTAAACCCCTAAACCCCTAAACCCCCTAAACCCCTAAACCCCTAAACCCCCTAACCTCCTAAACCCCTGAACCCCTAAACCCCTAAACCCTAAACCCTAGACCCTAGACCCTAAACCCTAAACCCTAAACCCTAAACCCTAAACCAACCTCCCATAGCAGGAGCTCCAGGGGCGGCAATCCGGCAAACGCGGGACAAACGCCAGAGAGCAGCTGTGGAAGTCTGCTTTGTCCGCCTTGAACCGAAACTTGACTAGCAGGGTTTAGGGTTTAGGGTTGAGGGTTTAGGGCTTAGGGTTTAGAGCAAGTTTAGGGTTTAGGGTTTAGGGTTTAGGATACGACATGGTGCCGAAGCTTCTTCATGTAGGGACACATGCAGAATTGCAGAATCTCCCGCTTCTCACCAGACGTGCGTTGTACCAAAGTATGCACGTAAGCTGTACTCTACTCTTGAGGTTTAGGGTTTAGGGCTTAGGGGTTTCTCTTGCTTTCAAGGCCTCAGGTTTTGCCACTGCGGACGGAAGTATAGAACCTGAAGCACCTTGCCACAAGATCCCCTACCTTCAGCCACGCACAACCCCAACGGGCATCCGAAGACTAGCTTAGCAGCAAAAAAGGAGCCCATACTTATGAATCATCATTCCGGTACAAATAGAACATAATCTACACCAGTTCCAGAAGCCTCTATGTTTAACCCCCAATGCATATACCCGATCTCAAGACATTTCATGAAATGGCACCTAATCCCTAAACCCTAAACCCTAAACCCCAAACCCTCGGGTAGAAAAGAACATCCCCAAACCCGAAACCCTGCACTCTTTGAGACCTTCAGAAGCCTTGCCGGGCGTGAGTGTGAGCGATGAAACCCTAAACCCTAAACCCTAAACCCTAAACCCTAAACCCTAAACCCTAAACCCTCTCAGGAACTAAGACAGCGGCCCCGGGAGACGTCGAGGCAATGCTGGAGGCGAGGGTTTCGGGTTTGCGGGGTTTAGGGTTTAGGGTTTAGGGTTTAGGGTGGATGCAAAAAGGGTTTAGGGATGTTTGGCCGGAAGGCTTTGCAGGACGCGAAGAGCATCTATGGCCCGAAGGGAGGTAGGGAGGTAGGTAGGTAGGTAGGTAGGAAAGTAAGTCAGTAAGTCTGTCAGCACCTTATTTCGTTTCTCGATTTTGGAGTATCAGTTCAAACAAACCCCCTAAACTCCTAAACCCCAAACCCCAAACCCTAAACCCTAAACCCTAAACCCTAAACCCTGAACCCTGGTCATCATCAAAAGGATCTGGGGTTCGCGGGGACGGTTTCCCAGAGCTCCCAAAGCCTGATGGGAGGGACCCCGGGAGCCCAAGGCGCTTAGAAAGAGGGTTTAGGGTTTAGGGTTTAGGGGTTTAGGGGTTTAGGGGTTTAGGGGTTTAGGGGTTTAGGGGTTTAGGGGTTTAGGGGTGTAGGGGTTTAGGGGTTTAGGGGTTTAGGCAACTGGTCCCGCGGACGATCCATGCGAGAGGCACGCAAAGATCTCTCACAGAGACTTAGGACAAATGAATTATGAATTCGCACGTCGTTTGGTGCGTTGGGATCGTATGTATGTATCGGTTCCATACTTCAGTGGGATGGACAGTCGGGACATCACATGGAATTGCCTGTTTGACAGGAACGAAGGGGCTTTTCATAGCTTTAGCAAAAGACCCCTTCTCAACGATAGCAAAAACTTGATGCCTGATTTCGCGTAGCTCCTTTGGAGCAAACTGTACTGACTGTACCGGCTCAGATACTCCTGCAAACCTCAAAGACTGCACACGACGAAGGTTGAAGTCAAACCCTGCGCGGATGCCAATCGCTTTGACAGCGTGGAGAAAAACTTTCAACTGTGCCCCCAGATTGGGACGACAAAGCTGGAGAATATGATATTCAGTTTCATGTACCCAGGCAGACGGCACATTGCAGCCGTTAATGAAGGTGGGAGAGTTCCCGTTTTCAAGTTGGCTATGTTCACTTGCGTCACCCAGCCCGTGCGCCGAACAAAAAGGAGGGGCAAGGACACAATCTGTGAATGTTGAAGGAAATCGTACAGCACTGTCATGAAACGAGGGTTAAGCAACGCGTCGCACATGTCCAGCACCGGCCAATGACAGCCACAAAGCGGGGCTGCCAGCAAATCCACATGAGCTGCATCAACGCAGGGCCTATCAAGGCTGCAAAGGGGTGGTTGCACCTGCTAAAGTGTTGACTGCTTGCGGCTTAGGACCACAAATAACTTCTTTTTGGAACCCGAAGATTTGTTTAGGGGTTTAGGGGTTTAGGGGTTTAGGGGTTTAGGGGGTTTAGGGGGTTTAGGGGGTTTAGGGGGTTTAGGGGGTTTAGGGGTTTCGCGTTTAGTGTTGAGGCTTTGGGAACGAGACGTCTTCTTTAACAATCGGCCCTCGCTCCGAGCCTGTGAAGTCAACTGCCGCGCACCTAAGAGCCCCCTGGCCCTTGAACCCTAAACCCTAAACCCCTATAGACCCTATGGACGCCCAAACCCTAAAGACCCCTAATCCCTATAAACCTCAATCCCGAAACCCGACACCAAAATCTCGAGCCCAAAGCCCTGTCGTAGGTGGCGGCATCCGAAGCAGAGCTCTGCAGCCTCAGGGAGTGGTGCTCGCAAGGAGCCTCACCCTCAACCCAGAGACTCCAAAACCCCTTAATTGAGGAATATGCCTTAAATCATATTAGGGTTCCTATTATAATTTAAGGTATATTCCTTAATTAAGTGGTTTTGGAGTCTCTGGGAACCCCAAAGCCCCAAGCCGGAAACTCTGATTTGTATTTAGGGCTTACGAAGCCCTAAAACCTTAACCCTAAACCCTAAACCCAGGGCGTAAGGTGCTTCAAAAGGAACCCTGGAAAACCCTTGACCCAGCTGTACCCTCTACATCGGGGTCTTACGGTTTAGGGTTTAGGGCTTAGGGCTTAGGGTTTGACATAGTTACATAGTTTTCTTTGCTCATGTTCAAGGTGGCTGGTCGCATGTAAGTGTCTTCGTCCTCTGAACGCTTGCGCAGAGCCTTTGACGGCAGACCATGAAAAAAACAACTCTCAAACCCTAAGCTCCCTAAACCCCTAAACCCCTAAACCCCTAACCCCCTAAGCCCCTAAACCCCTAAACCCCCAGAACCCCTAAACCCCTAAACCCCTAAACCCCTAAACCCCTAAACCCCTAAACCCCTAAACCCCTAAACCCCTAAACCCCTAAACCCCTAAACCCCTAAACCCCTAAACCTCCAACTCCGTAAACCCTAGAATCGCACAGTCATCTCACAGTTGTGTCGCCTCAGCATAACATGATCGCGGGGCCATAGACCCCAGGCTGGCGACTGGATTCCATCCCGAAGCCAGAGCTTGGCGGCTGGTCGGGGTTTGGGGTTTGGGGTTTAGGGTTTAGGGTTTAGGGTTGAGGGTTTAGGGTTTAGGGTTTAGGGTTTAGGGTTTAGGGTTTAGGGTTTAGGGTTTAGGGTTTGGGGGAAGGGCCTCTTGGGCGTGGGGCATCAGGTTGGAAGTGTTGCACGAGGCTTGAGGGGGTTTGGAAGGCTTGAGAATTTAGGGTGTTTAAGGTTTGGGGTTTTCGGAGGGCTGCTAAACTCTCATCCCTAAACTCGAAGAGCTGGCTTCGGGTTGAAGTGGCTTAGGGCTTGTAGGCAGGATGCCTCAAAAACAAACAGGCCGTACTCTCATTTCAAGTCCATGGCTTGCACTGCAGGACAGTAGGGCTTGTTTGGGGTTGAGGTCTTAAGCGAGTTTGAGGGTGTTTAAGGGTTTAGGGGTTTGGGGGTTTAAGAATTTCAGGGATGAGAGGTTGAAGGGGTTTCAAGGTCAGAGGTGTGGGGGTTTAAGAGTGGATAAGGGTTGAAGTGGATTGAAGGGGTCCAGTCCAGGGTTTAAGGGGGTAAAGGGTCTAGGGTTTAGGGTTTAGAGGTTTCAGGGGATTTAGGGGCCTGGATGCAACAGGGGTTTGAGGGTTCCAGGGCATGTAGAGGCCTGGTTGCAAAGAAGGCCCCTAAACCCGAAACCCGAAACCCTAAACCCTAAACCCTAAACCCTAAACCCTAAAACCCTAAACAGGGGTTCAAGGGTTTAAGGGTTGGAGGGCTCAGGGTCGACGGGCTTCGGGGTTGAGGCTTCAAAAAACATTTAAACCCTAAACCCAAAACCCTAAAGGGGAGTTTGGGGTTTTAACTCCTCAGGGCTTGTAGGGTTTACAGGGTTTTAGAGGGTTTACAGGGTTTTACAAGGTTTATAGGGTTTACTTATAGGGTTTACAGGGTTGTGCAGGGTGTTATCGGGTTTTTCAGGGTTTGGGCCTAGGAATCTTACGACTTTGCCCTCTTAGGGTGGTTACATGGTCCTGTAGTATGGGCCTCAAAAAGGTACCCAAATTAAGGGCCCATACATCAGAACCCTATAAAGGAGGTAAGGGACCATATTCAGGGCCCATGTAGCCCTAAGCCCTAAACCCTTAGAATCCTAAACCTCAAAACCCGAAAAAACTCCTAAACCCTAAAATCCCTAAACCCTAGACCCTAAAGACCCTAACCCTAAACCCTAATACCCCTAACCCTGAGCGCTAAACCCTAAAAATCCTAAAAGCCCCAAAACCCCATAAACCTTATAAAAACCCTAAAGACCCGAAACCCCAAAAACCCTAAACAGCCATTAAAACCCTAAAAAAGCCATAAAAACCCTAAAAAAGCCCTAAAACAGCCCTTAAAACCCTAAACACCCTAAAAACCCTAAACCCTATTAAGGGCCCATGAAACTACCCTCAGAGCCCCAGCTCCCAGGTTGGGAGGGGCTGGCGGATGCCTTCCAACGTGGCTCACTGCGAAGTTTACGCTGGTTGGAAATTCTAAGCCTTGGGTTTAGGGTTTGGGGTTCAGGGTTTGGGGTATAGGGTTTAGGGTTTAGCGTTTAGGGTTTAGGGTTTAGGTTTTAGGGTTTAGGGTTTAGCTCCTGACTGAGCGCCTGTGAGAGAGAGAGAGAGGGTTTAGCTCCTAAACACTAAACCCGAAACCCAAAATCCTAAGCCCTAAAGCCCTTCAACCCCCAACACCTAAACCCTTGAACCATCCCGGCTAGGGTGGCAAGTCCTCTACACCCTGCAGCCCTCCCCGAATAGCCCTAAACCCCTGTTTGTGTTGAAGCTCTGCTGCTCGTAACACCTGTGGTGGCTCAGGGTTCGATCACACAGAGCGCAGTGGATTTTCGAATAAATCACAAGGAGACATCTCGTGCCCACATCAAGACATTGGGGTTTTCATTTTGAACCATGAGAGAATCCAATTTGTGACCTCGCAAACAGGTTTGACCAGATGGGTTTGGTAGCACATGCTTGGAGAGGTGTGAAGAATTGGTCTGGGAGGGGTTGATAGCCGGGACTGAACATGGAGGTTTACGATAATAAGGGACGCCCACATAGTAGGATCCCCTTATACTAAGGACCCCAACAAGGTACCCGTAATTTCGGAAAGCCCCACATTGTTTCTGCGACATCGGATCGGTGTCTCCCTTGCTTGGAAAAAGAAAGGTTGCCCCGGGGGGGGGGGGGGGGGGGGGGAGCCCCTGAGTCAAGAAGCATATGTCTGTGATTACACTGTGCGAGTAGTTCTTTTTAGGACATGCACAAAAACAGGATGCATGTGCGTGCACATGTGCCGACCACAAAGTGCTTCATGCGCTTGACAGCTTGCAAACTAGCATGTGCTGATTCGTTTTTATTCTTTATGTTCAATGGTCTTCGAATTATTTCAAACTTCAAACCCGACACTCATGTGCATGCTGCGCCTGCCAGGAATGCTTGGCCCCTTTGCGCACGCGAAGGAGCAAAGCGCCATCAGAGCCTATGAGCTCTTGGGTTATAGTCCTTGTCGGTTGGTCTGAGGTCCATCTACAGCTCCCCGCAAAGGATGCAAACAGCAGGGGCCATCAAACATTGAGTTGCCCTAAACCCCCCTTGATCTCCTAGCTCCCAGCCGCCTGAACTTAAAAAGCCTATGCATCGCTCCCCCAGACACGGACTCTTCTGCAGAAAACCCCAAGAGGCGCCCGGCGCGCTCCGCAATGAGCTTAAAAGTCCAGTCTCCAAAGCTCCCAACCTCTCCGCGAGCAAAATGGTGCAATGCTTCCATTCCAAACGCAACACCCTAAACAGAATACGCAAGGCTTCTCAAAGCTTGATGGCTTGAGCTCGTTGAACATGAGTACCCCAACCAATAGTTATCCTACTTACCACCCCATTTGCACCTACCCCCTGAACGTGTGGTAAATCCTGAGCTGAAGCCCGAACCCTAGGAACATTCCTGCGTTACTCTTGGGTCAGCCTAAACCCTAAACCCTAAACCCTAAACCCTAAACCCTAAACCCTAAACCCTAAACCCTTGCTTATTCCTGGGTTGCTCTTCGGTCTAGGGACAAAGAAGGAGCGCGTGGAGCGATTGGAGGCCGCTTGCGCGGGACGCCTCCTGCTGCATCTCGGGCTCTTTCACTTGGGGTTTAGGGTTTAGGGTTTAGGGTTTAGGGTTTAGGGTTTGGGGTCTAGGGTTTAGGGTTTAGGGTTTAGGGTTTAGGTTTGGGGTTTAGGGTCGGGTTTAGGGTGTAGGGTTTAGGGTTTGGGGTTTGTAGGGGTTTAGGGTTCAGGGTTTGGGGTTTAGTGTTCGGCGTTTAGGGTTTAGGGTTGGGGGGCTCTTCTAAGAATAGAAAGCCTAGGTACCCAAGAACTCCCAGTACCATTAAACAGAAAAACGGGATACACCGGGTACCCTGAATAGAATGCTAGTAAAAGGGTCTTGGGAGAGGACTTCGCTCCTTTTTGTGATCGTGGTGTTCACGGGGCTTTTCCGTGCCTTTTGGTAGCGGCCATTAAAGGCTGTTGGATTTCTCGAGGCCTTGAACTCTACGGCACCTACTTAAACGATCAGGGGACTTAGTAAGTAGGGTTGTAGTCAGGGTTACAATTAGTTAGAAAATCAATTAGGGTACTTATACCCCTACTTACGAAGTCCCATGATCCTCCAAGTAGCTTTGGGCTCTTCAGCTTGTTGGCAAGTCTCGGCTTCTCTGCCGTCTTTGTTGGCGCCTGTAGGGTTTGAGAGGTGCTCTCCAGCTTTAAGAAGTTTGAATGCCGGGCTTCTCGTCTCTGGGTCCCGCTGAATTCAGGAATATTCCTTAAACCATATAAGGCACCCTGTCATATTTTACGGAATAGTCCTGAATTTGAAAGGCATTGGAGTCTGGGGGGTTTCACAACATCCCAGAAAACACTTCGCCCAGGTTCATCAATCGGCACTCTTCCGCGACCTGCCTTGTCAGCTCAGAGTTCAATGGGCTTGGCATCATCAGAGCTGCGGTTTAGGGTTTGGGCTTAGGGGTTATTAACCCCTAAAACCGTAAATCCTATAAACCCCAAAGCCTCAGGGTCGTTGCGGGCCGAGCACCATGGGGTTTTGGAGTCCCTAAACCCTAAACCCTAAACCCTAAACCCTAAACCCTAAACCCTAAACCCTAAACCCTAAACCCATCATCGCAGGACTTCGGGTTGCCAGCAACGAAGGGAATCACTACGGTTTTGAAGAGGCCCACGCCAGTTTCGGACAATTTCCAGGGGCTATTGCACCACTGGGCCCCGCAGGGACCCTAAACGCGGTTTAGGGTTTCGGGTTTAGGGTTTAGGGTTTCGGGTTTAGGGTTTAGGGTTTAGGGTTTAGGGTTTCGGGTTTAGGTCCTAAACCCTGA